CTCGGACATGTCATTGACGCCACGGGCATTCGTCCTTCAACCGAGAAGATCCAGGATCTGGTCGCAGCTCCCCGTCCACGCAATGTGTCTGATATGAGAAGTTTTCCGGGTCTGATTAACTATTACCATAGCTTTGTCAAGAACCTCAGCTCCAGTTTTCTGGGTCTGGGACTTGACAAATCTTATGTATTAACGGGGCTTATGTACTAAACGAAAGTGTGCATAACTTGCTTGTATACTAGAATTTTTCACTTTTTTCAAATTTTCTGAGTGTTTCTTGCTGCCATGACTAGGGAGCGAGATATTTTGATTCCCTCGATATAACAGAAAAATTATGTTATAACGGTCACAGTCGAGTCAGCGAAGATTCTACAGTTTACATGATACATGCCCAGCCGCGCCTGTACAGTCACTCGTAAAAAAAACAGAGCTTTGTCGATTTGTGATGTGCGCTCTGATTTCAGAGCTACATGTAATTGCGTCCACAAGTAGAAACTAGAACACGACGTGCCTCCACTGGATGGCCAAAAGACAAACAAATTATGTACTATTGAGGTAGGTGGCATGCGGGTACGGAGAAATGTTATGTACAGTTGCGCTTAGTGAAATCCGGCCCGAAGTGCAAAGCCGGCGCCGCGAAGCCAGCTCCTATTACATCACTGGCGATTTGTGTGTATGAACTAACTGTACGCACCTCGTGCAAAAGTTCGGAGTGCACGTGTTGCATGCTAAAAAAAGTTCAAAATTTCTTTCATTCACTTCACTCAAGCACAGCAGGGATCTTCTCGATAGCGGAGTACCCAACATCCTGTTTCAACCTCAATGCTCGCCGGACATGAATCCAATCGAGAATGTGTGGGCTCTTCTCAAGAAGAGAATAATTCCACATCGCTGCGAGAATGCTGACCAGCTGGTGCAGGCACTGCACCTGGAGTGGGACTCGTTGGGTCCTGACACGGTTTCTCCATACGTGGAGTCAATGTCACGTCGTGTTGAAGCCCTAATCGAAGCTGACGGTGGCCACACAAAAATAATATTGCAGCCCTGCTGTTCTGTGTATGAAATAAACTGCTTCGAAACGATCTCCGTCTTCTTTACTTGTGCTGAACTGAAATGAATGTTACACTTGTCTTTGTTTGGCGCGGTTTTTTACACTTTGGTGTAAGCATGCATGCGTATGAGTACAGCACATGCACAGTTCATACGGCACACGCGCACACTAGCACTTGTATAACTTTGAGGGCGTCAAGGGTCGCATCAGTACTGGGCGCCAGTTATGCACTTCGGGCCGGATTTCACTGAGCGCAACTGTACTAACGGGGTTTATGTACTAACGAATTATGTACTAACCGACAAAATTTGTATGGAAGTGACCACGTTTCTTCCGGGACTTGAGATTTCTTATGTACTACCGGGGTTTATGTACTAACGGGGTTTATGTACTAACGGGGTTTATGTACTAACAGGACTCGTATTAACGGGGTACGACCTGTATTACCATAGTTTTGTCAAGAACCTCAGCTCCATTCTCGCGCAGTTGTACGAGTTACTGTCTGCCACGTCTTGGCAGTGGTCCCAACGGCAGCAGAAAGCGTTTGACAAGGGCAAGTCGCTGCTGTCGTCTGAACCGGCTCGAACACACTACAATCCGTCACTTCCGATCGTAGTGTCTTGTGATGCTTCACCCTATGGTGTCGCTGCTGTATTGTCGCACTCCATGCATGATGGTACTGAGCGTCCCGTCGCATCCCGAACCCTGTCATCAGCAGAGAAGAATTTTTCTCAACTGGACCGTGAAGGACTTGCTCTCGTGTTCACAGTCAAACGGTTTCACAAGTACATCTATGGTCGCTCATTCGCCTTACAGACCGACCATAAGCCGCTGCTTGGGTTGTTCGCTCCTGACAAACCAACACCACCCCTATCTAGCGGCCGTCTACAACGCTGGTCATTGTTGCTGTCGAGCTATGAGTACAGTTTACAGTACAAGCCGGGTCAAGCCAACGGCAATGCAGATGGATTGAGCCGACTGCCTCGTCCTGCTGATGGCCCTGAGCTCGAGCCTCCAACACCTGCTGAAGTTGTACTGTCCATTGACGTACTCAATTCCTCGCCTGTGACAGCCGCAAAAGTATCCAAGTGGACAAGCCGAGATCCGGTTCTGTCATTAGTCCACAAGTTTGTCGTGGAAGGTTGGCCGCAGAACGTACCGGATGACCTGCAAATTTACTGCCGTCGACGCGATGAGTTTTCCGTCCAAGCCGGATGTGTTCTGGTTGGCTCACGTGTCGTCATTCCCGCTCCTGGCAGAGAGGCGTTACTGCAGCAGCTGCACGATGGACACCCAGGCATCACGAAGATGAAAGCGCTGGCCCGCAGCTATTTCTGGTGGCCATCCCTCGACACAGAGATTGAACACACAGTCCGAAGCTGTTCATCATGTCAGGATGCTCAGAAGTCGCCCAACCCCAGCTCTGTTCATCCGTGGGAATGGCCAGGTCGGCCATGGTCTCGCGTCCACATGGATTACGCTGGCCCTATTGATGGCAAGATGCTCTTGATCCTGGTAGATAGCCACAGCAAGTACATTGAAGGACATGTCACGTCTGGAGCGACATCGGCTATTACCATTCGTAAGCTTCACCAGTCATTTGCTGTCTTGGACTGCCGTCATGTCTTGTGACAGACAACGGTGCTGCTTTCAGTAGCTCTGAATTCGCTGCCTATTGCCAGTCCAATGGTATCAAGCATACTCGTGTTTCACCATACCATCCTGCCAGTAATGGTCTTGCTGAGAGAGCTGTGCAGACAGTCAAGAGCGGCATTCGCAAGCTCGCCTCTGGTGACTTAGAGTCACGGCTGCACAAGTTCCTGTTTATGTATCGCCGTACGCCGCATTCGACGACGGGCCAGACACCCTTCCAGCTCCTTTGGTCTCAGCGGAAGCCTCGCTCTTGCCTTGACCTCGTGTTTCCTGATATCGGTGCACATGTAGAATCCAAGCAAACCAGCATGTGCGGTGGTCGTTCGCCATCGGCATCCGAGTTCCTGTGCGGTGATGCAGTTTGGGTGATGAACTTCACCTCGTCCCCGAAGTGGCTCCCTGGTGTTCTCGAAGAACGCTGTGGTCCATTGACCTTAAAGGTGCGTCTAGATGACGGTCGTCTGTGGAAACGGCATGCTGACCATGTTCGTCCGCGCATGCTAGTCGACAGTTCACCGGAATCTTCTACATCAGCTCCAGTCCGCCATGAACAGTCATTTTCTTATTCTAAATCTCCTACTTGGTCCGCGTCAGCAATATTGTCGCTTATCTTTCGACAATTTGAACTTAGACTTTGGACATGAACGCGTGCACTTGAAGTGATAAAACTTGGTACGATGGACGGTAAGGTATAGAATGACAACTAGCTGTAAGGAATTTATTGTCCAAGGAAGGGTTCCTACTTTTTTCGGTCCTCCTCGTCGCTGCTCTCGACGCTGGCGACAAATATTTTTGCTCGGGATCGACTATCTTGCTTTTGCAAGCTCATCTCTCTACCTCTCCGCTGCCTGGCTATTATCTAAACAGAAGTCGATCGTGATGGTCGCCTTCTCTATAGGACTTCGCGTGGGCAGTACGACAGCCTGTGTGGTTCAAATCAGACGTCGTTCTTTGCAAGATTTTATTTTGAACGACGACGACGACGCGTACAGTACTTGCAAATCTCCACGATGCGCTGGATACTCCGAGCGTTGAGTTGGAGGTAAGGGAGCTGAGATCTCAGCTTGACGAGCGATCCCTGAGGTGAGCGATCTCGGCCGTTCAGCAAAATAGAGCTGATTCCGAGTAGCCGATTACTTTCTTGTGGCTTGCGCTGCTCTTGCCTGCACAGCGTAACAAGATAATCTATTTTGATGCGGCGCTGTATCAATCAGAATCACCCACCCGTCGCTCTCGAAATCCACTCGAACTGTAGCTAGACCTTTCAGGTACTAGTAAACTAACTTACTTACCAAGAATTGGGATGAAATGGGCTGCCAAGTGAACTTTGGCGACATATAAACAAAGCTGAAAGATAAGCGACAATATCGCTGACGCGGACCAAGTAGTCTGTCTTTGCCGACTAGTCATTCTGCTACTGCCACTTCAGTTTCTGATTCTGTACTCAAGCCTACTCCTGCAGCACCTTCTTCTGCACTGTCTCCTGTACCTGCAGTTTCTATGAGTCCTGCTAGTTCTGTTGCTTCTAGTTCTCCCGCTGTTGTTCTGCGACGCTCTACTCGTGTGTCTACTGCGCCTAAACGTCTTGATCTGTAGTAGCCGGTGGCACACCATTTCATACTGTTCTATTACGAACCTTTCTTTAGTCTCTTCCCAGTAGCTTTATCTAATGGTGGAGGGATGTGGTATCTGTACTTTGGAAGTCATTATTTATTGACTTCGCACGTGCTGCGTACAGTGCGTGCATGCATAGTTTCTGTGCTTGTTCTTTGGTTGTCGTTCTTCTTCTTGTTTTTTTTTCTGAAAGTGATTACCATGAATGTCCTCTGTTGAGTATTGAGTATTGTGTGAACCATAATAACCTTGAGTGGAGAGCGCTTGCTCGAGCGTTGAACAGGGTTCTTTATCCACCATACCCAGTTCGCAAGGCTGGGTGGGGTTGTGAGCAGGCTTTCATTTCATCTTTTCTTATTATTTCTGCTTTTCATCTCATTACAAAAATTCTGCGCATTTTTCTCCATCTGCGCATAAAATCTAGACTGACAACCTACTTGTTAAATCATGCACCTGCTTTTAGGTGTAAAAACCCTGTTGTAGAGGTCTCAGTCCTCATTTGTTAGACTTACCTGTCTTTATAAATGTATTTTACTCTCTCTCTCTCTCAATCTATCTCTCTCTCCCTATCTATCTCTCTCTCTCACTCTCCATCTGTGTCTCTCTCTCTCTCTCCACAATAAGACATTGTTGTTCATAGCTTTATACCTTGGTGTTTCCACCCCCCCCCCCCCCTGTCCAGAACTTGATGAATGCGAAGAACGTAATTTGACGTGCAGCATTGATGCTCCCTGTACTAATGAGAATGGGACATTCTCATGTGTTTGCAAGCCTGGATTTACTGGAGATGGATTTTCCTGTACAGGTACGTTCTTTCCACACATGCCCTGGCCACGTCTTCAGTCCCAACTTCGTCTTTTTTTATTGAATTTGAACGAGGAATTGACTACAAATGATGAATTGCCAAAATGACTAGCTGCAGTGCACCGGTTATGGATTACACAATGCAGTATGCTGGTTTGCCAGGTGTTGTAATTCAACGTTCTGCACACGATAGGAACCAAGGCACGCACAAAAAACAACTGGCCTCTTCCATTTCTTTACCACAGTATAGTAGGAGACTGGAGAGTCCTTAGACTCGAGCGGAATGTCTGAAATGAAAGCAACCATACTTGGCCTGCGTCAGCGATATTGTCGCTTCTCTTTCAGCTTTGTTTATAAGTCGCCAATGCTTACTTGGCAGCCCATTTTATCCCAATTTTGGTTAGCAAGTTAGGTTTCTAGTACCTGAAAGGTCTAGCTAGAGTTCGAGTGGATTTCGAGAGCGACAGGTGTGCAATTCTGATTGATACAGCGCCGCATCAAAATAGATTATCGTTTTACGCTGTGCAGGCGAGAGCAGCGCAAGCCACAAGAAAGTAATTGGCTACTCGGAATCAGCTCCATTTTGCTCAACCGCCGAGATCGCTCACCTCAGGGATCGCTCATCAAGCTGAGATCGCCCCTCCGCTACCTCCAGCTGAACGCTCGGAGTATCCAGCGTGTCGTGGAGATTTGCAAGTACTGTACGCGTCGTCGTCGTTCAAAATAAAATCTTGCAAAGAACGGCGTCTGATTTGAACCACACAGGCTGTCGTGCTGCCCACGCGAAGTCATATAGAGAAGGCGACCGTCACGATCGACTTCTCTTTAGAAAATAGCCAGGCAGCGGATAGGAAGAGAGATGAGCTTGCAAAAGCAAGAGAGTCGATCCCGAGCAAAAATATTTGTCGCCACCGACGAGAGCAGCGACGAAGAGGACCGCAAAAAGTAGGAACCCTTCCTTGGACAATAAATTCCTCTCAGCGAGTTGTCATTCTATACCTTATCGTCCATCGTACCAAGTTTTATCACTTCAAGTGCACGCGTTTATGTCCTAAGTCTAAGTTCAAATTGTCGAAATATTGCTGACGCGGACCAAGTAGTAATAATTATTATTATTCACATTGGGTTGTTTTCGAGACGATCTCCCTCGCTTCCTCACGCTAGTCTGAGATTGGCCAAGCTCCCCGCCCGTCGAGGCGTCATTTTAACACCTATGTTGAAGTGTTGCCTTTTTCTTTCTTTCATTCTCTATAGTTATGTGTTTTCAATTTTACAACATTCCCTGAACTATCCTGAAGAGAAGGGAAAGAAAACGTTTGATAGAAAAGAAATGTCTACTGAATTGTGTGGATTTAGGTCGTTGCATGCGAATGCTTATTACGAAACTGTTTTCCCACCGCCTCCGAACTACTGTTTGAATAATAATAATAATAATAATAATAATAATAATAATAATAATAATTTTTAATAACGAAGGTACGTGTTAGGTCGTAAGTATCCACGCAAACACACATCCAGTCAAAATAAGGCACTTGTCAAAGTATCCGAACGTTTTCGGTCCCTTCTCATCAAGGATTATACAGGGAATGGCTCAAGTTGGAAAGACTAAAACTTATATAGCGTAAAGATATGAGATAACAACACTCGTGACAAGGTGAAAAAAGTATCAAGTTCAGCACGACACAAAACTCGAAGGACATAATAATAGCGACAAGAACATAGTGAGCAAATTAAGTTACATTGTTAACACCTCGACGAGGAGTAACACCAAACAATTGTAGCGACAACACATTTTCTTTTTGCACGCAAAGTTCAGGATCTAACTTACGGATATACAAAGCTTCTAACACAGCCAGATGCAACGCACATCTACCACGTGACAATATTGAGAACACATTATCACTGTACAACTCACGACAATTGGTACGGGCTGACAGATGTTGCTTGATGGACGAAGTGCGATTCTTAGCTCCGTTGGGTGTAGTCTCCTCCAATGTCCCGTCATCTCGCCTCTTCGCGGCATCACCACTATCCGTCTCTTTGCTTTTCCGCGGCCTTCCACGTTTTCTGACACTAGCCGTTGTGTGCGCGATGCCCAGTGTCCTTTCAGCTACGTCTCCTCCATTGCGGATTTCTATTGATCTTCTTACTCCAACTTGTCCGGTGTTCGATATTGAGGTTCGTTTTCGCGGTCTACCACGTTTTCGAATATTGACTGTTGTTGTCACTTCCGTTGTCGTTGTACGTGCGTCCTCACCAGTCCGTATTTTTACTTGGCTTCGCGTAACCCTTCCCGACGCAGACAGATCCTTTGTCAATTTCGGTGGTTTACGTGTCGGTCTTTCACCATCTTTCACGCTGTTCTCAGCTGGACCCTGCGCTATACACGCGGAGGAGGACGGGCATGCAGTGATATCTTCACAGGAAGAGGAAGATCCACCGATGGACTGGACAGCACATTTTGGAGGACGACCACGGCGAGGACGACACTCACGCGCATCAAGCGGAACAAAACTTAACGGCACATGTTGACGAATGCGCGCGCCCAGGTGCTGAAGGGTTCTACCTACATACCGATCTTCACATTGTCGGCATTGAAAGAAATAGATAAGGTTACTTTTACTAAGGGTAGGTAGAACATCCTTCTTCACACTGAACGCACGCACTGTCCCAAATATGACGTACAGCTTGACGCACGGATAAGATGGACATACGATACCACGAACATCCTTCTCCACGCGCGCAGAAGGATGTTCTACCTACCCTTAGTAAAAGTAACCTTATCTATTTCTTTCAATGCCGACAATGTGAAGATCGGTATGTAGGTAGAACCCTTCAGCACCTGGGCGCGCGCATTCGTCAACATGTGCCGTTAAGTTTTGTTCCGCTTGATGCGCGTGAGTGTCGTCCTCGCCGTGGTCGTCCTCCAAAATGTGCTGTCCAGTCCATCGGTGGATCTTCCTCTTCCTGTGAAGATATCACTGCATGCCCGTCCTCCTCCGCGTGTATAGCGCAGGGTCCAGCTGAGAACAGCGTGAAAGATGGTGAAAGACCGACACGTAAACCACCGAAATTGACAAAGGATCTGTCTGCGTCGGGAAGGGTTACGCGAAGCCAAGTAAAAATACGGACTGGTGAGGACGCACGTACAACGACAACGGAAGTGACAACAACAGTCAATATTCGAAAACGTGGTAGACCGCGAAAACGAACCTCAATATCGAACACCGGACAAGTTGGAGTAAGAAGATCAATAGAAATCCGCAATGGAGGAGACGTAGCTGAAAGGACACTGGGCATCGCGCACACAACGGCTAGTGTCAGAAAACGTGGAAGGCCGCGGAAAAGCAAAGAGACGGATAGTGGTGATGCCGCGAAGAGGCGAGATGACGGGACATTGGAGGAGACTACACCCAACGGAGCTAAGAATCGCACTTCGTCCATCAAGCAACATCTGTCAGCCCGTACCAATTGTCGTGAGTTGTACAGTGATAATGTGTTCTCAATATTGTCACGTGGTAGATGTGCGTTGCATCTGGCTGTGTTAGAAGCTTTGTATATCCGTAAGTTAGATCCTGAACTTTGCGTGCAAAAAGAAAATGTGTTGTCGCTACAATTGTTTGGTGTTACTCCTCGTCGAGGTGTTAACAATGTAACTTAATTTGCTCACTATGTTCTTGTCGCTATTATTATGTCCTTCGAGTTTTGTGTCGTGCTGAACTTGATACTTTTTTCACCTTGTCACGAGTGTTGTTATCTCATATCTTTACGCTATATAAGTTTTAGTCTTTCCAACTTGAGCCATTCCCTGTATAATCCTTGATGAGAAGGGACCGAAAACGTTCGGATACTTTGACAAGTGCCTTATTTTGACTGGATGTGTGTTTGCGTGGATACTTACGACCTAACACGTACCTTCGTTATTAAAGTATTATCCGCCTCCGACTTCTTGTAAAAAATAATAATAATAATAATAATAATAATAATAATAATAATAATAATAATTTCAAATTTTCTTTCACCGCCCACGGCCGCACAAAGTCCTTGGCTACAAAAAAAAAATTAAAGTCTCTCCAAATCTCTCAAAACCAAACTTCAAACTCCTTTCCAAATTTTCGCCCAAGAGGGCATCTTCAGGGATATGTGACTCCTGTGAACAAAACAACAATATAACTACAGAGAAAAGGGTAATAGCAATAATGTGGCAATATACCAGGAACATCATAACTAGTGCTAAGAATTGAGACTAACATTGAAGATAATGTCACATATTCAGAAACAAAAACAGAACCTACCCACAATATCGCACGCCAGGTAATAGCCTAAAACAAATGTCTCAACTTGCAAGATCTCAAGTCAGGTGATGATGGGTCAGCGTGAAGTGCATGTCTCAACTGGTGTGATCGCCAATTAGATGTGAAGGTGACGAGGCCAGAAAGAGAGAGAAAGAGAGAGAGAGACAGAGGCAGAGAAAGATAGTGTGTGTATGTATGTGTTTGTGTGTGTGAGTGCACATGTGTGTGTGTGCGTACGTGTGTGTGTGTGAGCGTGCGTGTGTGTGTGTGTGTGGGGGGGGGGTGTGCGTGAGTGCGAGCCTCACGGGTGGTAATTGCATCCATTCGATGAGATGGTCTTGCCCACAGTAACCATGAAGGTCCTGTTGTTTTGATGAATTTATGCCGATAGTCTCCATCCAGTGTCACAGTTGATTGCTGGCTTTCTGCTTCTGATTTCGGTTGCTTCCATGTACTTGCGGGAAGGCAGCGAAGACTCCCTGCCGAGAATCTTGGCGTGGTGGAAAGGCTGAAAGTTAGGCGATGATGTTGCAAATTCTCGGTGGTCAGACTTGTAATGGCCCCCCCAGGGAGTCTTCACTGCCCTCACCCTTGCCTCTCGATAATGTTTCTTGAATCTTTCCCTCACTGGACGCTCGGTTTCCCCGACGTAGAGCTCTTCGCACAATGTACATGACATACAATAGACTACATTCTTCGTCAGACA